GATGCGACCCTGGGGCCCAGACCGGCGACACCGTGTGTTTTTTCACGACGTCGACCCCCGGAGGTCTGGACCCCTTCCACGAGACCGGCTCTTCATCCCGAGTCCTTCTTTGACGGCCCCGAGGCCCAGTAGGGGGCCTCCAGAGGCCGAAAATCGCGAAGAACCTCCCGTCGCGATTCCGTTCTCAGCGCGAGGGGGGTCCGGGGCGGGCTCCAGCAACCAACGTGCCCTCGGACGGTCTGGGATTAGGTCGGGCCTGTCCCCCTACACGGGGATTTTGGACGAAAAATTAAAAATATTCAAAAAATGCTCAAAAGATGCCGCAAAATTCTCAAAAAATACTCCCAAAACTATTTTTTTACTGTTTTTGAGTTGGGGATGGTCAGACCCCCCTTTAATAAAACGTGGTTTAGTGAAAACGACCTCGGGCCCAAACCTGGCGGGCGCACTGGAAAATGACGGCCGCGGCGCCCTCTGGAGAACCGAAAACGGACAATTCACTAGTCGACGGGTCAGGGCAGGAGGTCTGTCCACCCCCGATGGAAGATTCCCCCTGTAGAGGGACAGGCCCGACGCAAGTCTGGGAGGCCCGCCCTGCAGCACCGCTCGGGGCCCTTCCGGAGGCCCCACCGTGGAGGCCCCGCCGGGGAGGGGGGGGGCAGCCCAAGAGGCCAGCGCTGAGGAGTGTCGGCGGCGAGCGAGGCGAGAGCGGAGCTAGGACCGTCCAACTGGATGCTCACAGCTGTCCTTCTTGGCTGCAAAAAAAATCGAAAGAACCTGCCGTCGTGCTTCTGCGCATGCCTCGCCGAGGGTCTTCGGCGGGAGGCATCCATGCCTGAAGCTCGGGTCCCTCCTGCCCCCGCCCTGGCAAGGACCCGGGCCGGGGCCGAGGAGGAGCAGCGCGCGGCACGCCGAGCCGAGCCGCTGCGCCCCGTCCGCGGTCTCCAGACCTCGCGATGTGTCATGGACTCCGCACAAAACGCGCCGCACCCAGGAGAAGGCCTCCTCGGTGCGGGTCCAAGAAGTAGATGCGCCACCACCGCCTCCGTTCCTGCTCCCTCCTCCATGGCCTCCTCTTCCTCCGCCTCTTTCCTGGGGGAGGGAGGGGGTGAGAAAGGTGGTGGTGGTGGTGAATACGCTTGGGCCCCGTACTCAGAAGGCGGAGGGGCTTCTCGGAAGCCCTCGCACATTCTGAGAAAGCCGAGCTACGACCCAAAAACCACCAGGTGTCCGAGAAGAAGAAGGCCCTCTCGGGAGGCGGCGTGGCTTCTCGGAAGGCCTCCGGCCTTCGGAGAGGTTGTCTGCGTCTTCGGGGAAGGCTTAGGAAACTGCTCAGAAGGCTGCGGGACTTCCGGATATTCTGAGAAGGCCCGCCCCTTCGCACTTCCCCCTGGGCTCGCCGCCGAGATGAGCTTCTCCATGATGGCTGCATTCTCGTCTCTTCGGTCTTAGCAACGTACGAGACGGCCCATGAGGCTCCCAGGACCGCCCCCCGAGGCTCATAAGGAGGGCAGAGGCCCCCATGGCGCCTCAGAGAGGGGCTCGACAAGAACGATGAACCCTGATGTGCCAAACACGGTCCCCAGAGAAATTTCCGAGACGGCCAAGAGGGGCCCGACACGGCCCGACATGGCCACGCCACGGGAGGGCCCCCGGACGACCCCGGAGATCCCACAGAGGCCCGCAAGACGGTCCGCGAGAGCCCACCAGCGGCTCCCAAAAGACCGCGAGAGGCCTCCGAGAGCTCTCCGGTCCACGACCCCAGCACGGTGGTGAGTGTGCCTGGGAGCCGCCCTCCTCCTCCCCCTCCTCCTGCTCCTCCTCCTCCCTCCTCCTCCTCATCCCCCTCCTCCTCCTCCTCCTCCTCCTTGTCCTCCTCCTCCTCCTCCTCCTCCTCCTCCTCCTCCTCCTCCTCCTCCTCCTCCTCCTCCTCCTGAGCCACCAGGTAAGGACGTATGAAGTCGCTTGACGAAGCGTGGGTCTGGGAGACACCCGTGCGGGCCCCGCGTTCGGGAGGCGGGCGCACGGCTCCGAGGGCCCGGGGTGCGGCGGGGCACCTCGTGGGCACCGTGCCGAGTGCAGCGCGTCGCACGGAGAGACTGCAAAGAAGCCAGTCCAGTCTTAGGTCGGGCCTGTCCCCCTACAGGCGGGTTTGGACGCAGAATAAAAATACTCAAAACATATTCAGAAGATGCTCACAAATACTCCAAAAAAAATCCCCGCACTATTTTTTGACTATTTCTGAATATTCCCCCTGTAGAGAGACAGACCCGACTTAAGTCCAGTCCACAAGAGACCTTCCACAAGAAACCCAACCCTGAGACTCCAGGACGTCCATTGATTTCTGGTGTGGGAACGTCGCGCTTTCCATGGCAAAACCATCGAAACCCAGGAAACCCAGGGCACCCTGGAGGCAAGCAGGGCGTTTCTTGGCATGGGCCTCCACTGAATGGTGCGCCAGTAATGGAACCAGAGACTCTTGCCAGACAAGCCGTTCGGAAGAAGTAAGTAAGAACATGCAGTAGGAGGGCGGATAAAGTAGACTGGGCTCAGACCCTCCCAGAGAACAACACGGCGCATCAAAACCATGCCTGGAAGTAGATTGAGATCTGGGCATCCAGACATAAATACCTACCTTCAACGACCGGCGTGTACGCCCACACCGATCGTTGCCAGGCTCATGCTGAGCTGAAAAGAAGCAGGGGAGGCGAGGGCGAGGGCCAAGGATCCATGTGTATGCTCTCCTGGCTTGGGGAGGAGGGCGTCTACACCGACATGTGGGCCCGGGATCGGCCTGGCCAAGACGTCGCTGCACCGGCCCTGCAGACGTGCTGCAGCGGATTTCTGCGTGGAGTTCTGCGTGGCGAGCGAAAAACGGAGTGAATTTCGCGTGGGTTCTCTTCGGCCTTCATTCCTGGCAAAAAAATCCGCACGAAATTCACCTCGAAATCCAGAACGAAATTCTCCGATCGTTTTCCGAACGATATCCGCTCTTCGATGTTGGCGCCATGCAAGATGGATGGTGAACGTTTTCTTGTTCGGCGTTTCGACATTGGGCAGAAGGGGGGGGGACTGACACGGCCTGCCCCGGTGGCCTGCGACCTGCTGACGCTGAGCCCTTAGCGCACTGGCTCCCCCCCCCCCGCATCACCTCGGCCGACAGGCTGCGCCCCTGCGCCCTCGCTGAAAAGACTCGACGCCCGCCTTCCCTCTGTGGATGCCCCCTGTGGCAACCCGCAGGAATGGGGGGATGCGGCGATGCGAACGGGAAGGGGACCCGCGGCGAAAGGAACCCGCATGGGGCCCAGTCACACGCCCTGAGTGGGTGCCCCTGTGGCAACACGCAGGAATAGGGGGATGCGACGATGCGAAAGGGAAAGGGACCCGCGGCGAAAGGAACCCGCAGGAACCCGGTCGCGTGTCCTCAGTGGATGCCCCTGTGGTGGCACACAAGAACGGGGGGATGGAGCGATACGAACAGGAACTGGGGAGACAAAAAGGTACCGATACCGCTACTCCCCGGACCTCTCCCGGGGTGCGCTCTGACCTGGGTTTCGAGGCAATTCCAGCGGTGGCAACGAGGGCCTCCGAGGAGGCCCCAAAGGGGGGAAAACGGGCGAAGGGCAGAGGTATGGGTACCTCCTCCTCCTCGGGGGAACGGGACCCGCGGCGCAAAGAGCCCGCAGGAGCCCCTGCAGCGCGTGCGCCCGGGGGCGGCACTCCGGGCGCGCCACGGTGCTCCAAGGCCCCGCGAGCCGGAGGGCGGCGGCAGGGCGGCGGCAGGGAGAGCGGCGAGGCAGGATCGGAGGGGCTGGAGAGTACAGCACAGCCACGCCCAAGGTCGCACCTGCAGCCAATCGTTCGCTGGTCCTCCCTCGGTGCGCGACGGCCACGGCGCGGAGCGCTCGGCCGAGTCGTCCGAGAGGGCTGCCCGCCCCGATCCAGAGGCACCGCCCCCGCGCTTGGAGTGAGGGGCAGCGCGACGGTCAGGAACGTTTGCTCAGCGTGTCGCCACGGCGGCAACGAGTAGCGTGTGGCTCCGCTCCGCGGGGCGGGCAGCTAGGAAAAACTCAGGACGTTGACGCTTGGGGACTGGGACGCGGAAAGCCTTTCGCGCCGAAGCGTGGTGGGCCAGAGCCCGCGGCGCGACACGCGAAACCGAAGGTCCTGACCGTGGGACCAGCTCGGGGGGGGGGGGGGGGGGGGCAAACATCGACCTGGAATCGGCGACACATTGCCGATAGATCGGGGATAGGCCGTCGGTAGCGAATCCGCACGTGCCTGGGCGGGGTGGTGTCATCGGGCCCCTGTCGGCGATGAACGGGCGATCGGGGGTCGATGCATCCCCCCCTGAGCCTGTGCCCACTTCGCATTGCCCCCTGATGTGGCCACCCAGCAGGGCGACCCCCAGGCAGTGCCAAGGCAGGGCGCCACTTCCTCAACACTTCCCAGGCCTCCAAGAAAGACCCTGACCGCCCAAAAACCTCCCCGAGCGTAGATCCTGGAACCTCGATCCTCAGGAAGATCTACGGGACCTAACTTCGCGCTTCGCACCCTTGTGGTGGCCTTCGCAACCATCATCAATCCTCCTCCTTCCCCCTTAGCATCATCATCATCAGCAGCATCATCATCAGCAGCATCAGCAGCATCAGCAGCATCAGCAGCATCAGCATCAGCATCAGCATCAGAATAATCATCATCATCATCATCATCATCAGCAGCAGCATCAGCATCATCATCAGCATTATCATCAGCAGCATCAACATCAGCGTCATCATCATCGTTATCATCATCACCATCATCACCATCATCATCATCATCATCATCATCATCATCATCATCATCATCATCATCATCATCATCATCATTATCATCATCATTATCATGCTCATGCTCGTCCTCATGCTCATCCTCGTCCTCATCCTCGCCCTACTTTCGCCACCGCGCCCGCCCCGCACTTCCAGGCAGCGCCCCCCCCACGGGGCACAACATGCTCGGGCCGTTGCTCTGGTCCGGGTACCAAATCTGCCGGTAGACCAAGTACCAAAACCTGAGTGTACCGTCGACAGAGGGGAAGGAGGAGGAGGAACAGAAAGCGGAGGAGGAGGAGGAGGAGGAGGAGAATAAGGAGCAGTGCAAACCAAAGACGCGTCAACGATGTTGCAATGAGCCACTCTCCAAGCTCCTCCTCACAGGTCCCTGAAAGAGTTGATCTTCATTGCGCGAAGTGCCTCATCTGAAGACAGCCGTACGAGAATACCCAGTCGTGCCAAAACACCGTTCCTGGGACTTCAGCGCCACGAATCAACTCCTTGCTGCGCCCTGACAATCCTAAATCGCGCCAGAAAGCCGTTCCAGGGACTTCAATACCGCGGATTCACGTGACCGGTGGGTCGTGATAGTCCTAGGTCGTGCCAGGACGTTGCTCCCGGGACTTCCGACCGCGAAGCATCGCGACTGATGCGTCCGGACAATCCTAGACCGTGCCAAGACACACCTCCTGAACCGTGCCAAGACACACCTCCTGATGGAGGGCGGTTCCTATTCACATGATGCCTCTTTCCTGAGACTCTGTCAACCTTACCACACTTCAAAAAGGCACGGATGCTTTTCGCCAGGGTTGGCTTTCGCCGGGCTTCGTTCCGCAAGGCTTCGTTTCGCCGGGCTTCGTTTCGCCCGGGTTGGCTTTCGCCTGGGTTGGCTTTCGCCGAGGGTTGGCTTTCGCTGGGGGTTGGCTTTCGCCGGGGTTGGCTTTCGCCGGGTTGGCTTTCGCCGGGTTGGCTTTCGCCAGGGTTGGCTTTCGCCGGGGTTGGCTTTCGCCAGGGTTGGCTTTCGACGGGGTTGGCTTTCGCCGGGGCCGGGCGGGGAGCAGGCGCCGTCGCCGCTGGCGTGGCCGTCGCCGCCGCCGTCGTGACCCCCGGGAGCCCTTGAGGCGCGCCGCTTGCCCAGGCGAAAGGGGCGAATAGACGTGGTGGGGGGCTCAGGGAGGTGCTGGATGCTCCAGAATAATTGACACATCGCCGACAGGTTGGCGATAAGCCCCCAGACAGGGAAGCCGCGCGTTCCTGGAAGGGGCGGGGCGCTCTGGCGCCAATCGGCGATGAATGGGTGATGGGGTATCTATGTCTCCTGTCCCCTCTGAGCAATTTCTCTGTTTCTCTTCGCCCCCGGAAGCGGCCAGCGGTCGTGGTGGCGGTCGCAGCTGGTGGGGGCATTGGCGGTGGTAGTGGAAGCTGTGGCGGAAGGGGGCGCGCCGATACCTCCGACGCCCGGGAAAAACAAAATGGTAGGTTTTTGAGGGACGTGGTCGGCCGCAGGGAGGCCAGGACGGCCCTAGGACGCGCCACGATAAACCTGTCCTTGGGAACCATTGCGGACCCGAGGGAGCCGCCGGCGTAAATAAATCCAGGGACCTAACGGGCTGGTCGGGGCGGGCGGGACACTAAAGTGTGAGGGCGCACTCGACTGAGCACGCATGGGCCCACGCGTGAACCCTAACGGGCGGGTCCGGTCGGGCGGGGGGACCCTAACGGGCGGTCCGGGTCGTGTCGGGCCGCGCGGACCCTAACGGGCGGGTCGGGTCGGGCGGGCGGGGGCACTGAAGTGTGGGTCACGCCTGAGCGACACGCGTGAACCCTAACAGGCGGGTCGGGTGGGGCAGGCGGTCCCTAACGGGCGGGACGGGTCGGCGGACCCTAACGGGCGGGTCGGGTCGGGTCGGGCGGGACACTAAAGTGTGGGGGCGCGCTCGAGTGGGCACGCGTGAACCCTAACGGGCTGGTCCGGTCGGGCGGGCAGACCCTAAGGGGCGGGACGGGTCGGGTCGGTCGGGTGGACCCTAACACGCGGGTCCGGTCGGGCGGGCGGACCACACAAGGCGGGACGGCTCGGGTCGGGTCGGGCGGACCCTAACGGGCGGGTCGGGTCGGGCGGGGGGGGCACTAAAAATGTGGGGCGCGCTCGAGTGAGCACGCGTGAACCCTAACGGGCGGGTCGGGTCGGGCGGGCGGACCCTAACGGGCGGGGCGGATCGGGTCGGGTCGTGCAAACCCTAATAGGCGGGTCGGGTCGGGCGGGCGGGACACTGGAGTGTGGGGCACGCCAGAGCGAGCACGCATGAACCCTAACGGGCGGGTCGGGTCGGGCGGGCGGACCCTAACCGGCGGGACGGGTCCGGTCGGGCCGCGCGGACCCTAACGGGCGGGTCGGGTCGGGCGGGCGGGACACTAAAGTGTGGGGCGCGCCCGAGTGGGCACGCGTGAACCCTAACGGGCGGGTCGGGTCGGGCGGGCGGACCCTAACGGGCGGGGCGGGTCTGGTGGGGTCGGGCGGACCGCTGGAGCAGGCACGCGTGAACTTCAACGGGCAGGTCGGATCGGGTCGGGCGGACCCTGACAGGCGGGATGGGTCGGGTCGGGTCGGGCGGACCCTAACCGGCGGGTCGGGTCGGGCGGGCGGGACACTAAAGTGTGGGGCGCGCTCGAGTGGGCACGCGTGAACCCTAACGGGCGGGTCTGGTCGGGCGGGCGGACCCAAACGGCCGGGACTGGTCGGGTCGGGCCGCGCGGACCCTATCACGCGGGTCGGGTCGGGCCGGCGGGGCAATAAAGTGTGGGTGGGGCGCGTTCGACTCAGCACGCGCGAACTCGAACGGGCGGGTCGGGTCGGGCGGGCGGACCCTGGCGGGCGGGACCACTACGACGACAACGACCACGACGAGGACGACGGCAACAACGGCGACCAGGAGGACGACGACGACAGCGACAACGGCGAGTACGGCGACGACGACAACGGCTAAGACAACGACGACCACCACCACCACGACAATATCACAACGACGACGACGACGACGACGACGACGACGACGACGACGACGACGACGACGACGACGGCGACGACGACGACGACGACGACGACGACGCCGACGACGACGAGGACGACGACAACGACGACGACTACGACAACGGGGAGGACGACGACTACTACGACGACGACTCCCCGTCCTCCCGTTCCCCTCCTGGTCGCCCTCCTCCGTTCCCCTCGCGGTCTTGCCTTTCCTGTCCTCCTCCGGCCCACGGCCCTCTCCCAGGATCCATGCCCGTCGCCCGCGCTCCTGATGGACGCCGAAACCCAGGCAAAAACGAGCCCAGGCGACAGCCAACCTGGGCGACAGCCAACCCGGGCGAAAGCCAACCCGGGCGAAAGCCAACCCGGGCGAAAGCCAACCCGGACGAAAGCCAACCCGGACGAAAGCCAACCCAGGCGAAAGCCAACCGTGCGAAAGCCAACCCGTGCGAAAGCCAACCCGGGCGAAAGCCAACCCGGGCGAAAGCCAACCGGGCGAAAGCCAACCTGGGCGAAACGAACCCGGCGAAACGCACCAGGCGAAAGCCAACCCAGGCGAAAAACATATACGCCGTCGAAAAGTGCGCAAGGGCTACACGGATGGAGGGCGGCTCCGTTCCTACATGGGGCTCTCGCTTGAGACGTGTTTGTGCACGGTGTCCACAAACGTGTGCAAGAGTGGTACGCATGGAGGGCGGATCCTTTACGGAGCGGGACTGTCCCCGGGCACGTCCTTGGAATGTACACAGTCGTCCCGTATCAGAAGGATGCGCAGTAAGGATGCAAGGGCCTTGGACGCCCATTTCGAAGCTTCTCGAGCGGGGCGCGGCCAACGAGAGTGGCAAAGGATGGACCGAGGAGGCAGGGATGCAAGGGCACCCTTGGGAAGGTTGCCCATCCTTACGAGGCGGGTTGACTGCACGAACCCTTGGCATTGATGCAAACTTGTGGGACGAATGCGCGCGGCGCTGGGGCGAGAAACACATTCTGGAACGGAACCGCCCTCTGTCCGTGAAGCGACTGCAAGCTTGCAACACGTGTACGCGGCGCCAGGGCGAGGCTATCTTTTGAGAGAACCGTCCGCCCTCCAGCCATGAAGCCTCTGCAAGCCTTAAAAATAAACCAGCGCAGTCCACGACTCGCAAAGTAGCTACTCGCAAATGGCCTGGACCCATGGCGTCGAGGCAAGCAGGCTCCATTGCATCGAACAACTCTGGCGTTTTTTAAGACGTTTGCGAGTAGGCACTTTGCGAGTAGTGGAAAGCGCTCGGTGATAAAAGGAATGTGCACGACACCAAGGCGGGAACCATATTTCGAAAACAGCCCGCCCTCCATCCGTGAGGTCATGGTACACGTGCACAACGAGTGCGCGCGGCGCTGTAGCGAGAGAGCCACATTTTGAGAACAGCCCCTCCTCCATCAGTGAAGCTACAGCACTTGTCAAGAGTCGGGGTGATACATGATGAGGATGGCTCCAGCGAAACGCCAGGCCCGCCAGGCGTCTCCCTTCCCCCCTCGGCGCGCCGCCGAGAGAAAGAGGAAAGGAGGGGGCGGGCGGGAGTAGCTTCCTGAGCCCTTCCCCGAAGCTACCGAGGGCTTCTCAGAAGGCTCGCCCCGCTCTAGAGCCCCCTCGGCGCACCGCCGGGCGAAAGAGGAAGGGGAGCGTCCGCCCAGCCAGGGGCCTCGACCACGAGCCGAGTGCCGACGCAAGCGCTCGCCGAAGTGTGCCCGGGCGCCCATGTCAAAACGAAGCACAGCGAGGCACCGCGCTCGGCTGCACGCAAGAGTGACCCTGGGCAAGAGTGACCTTTGGTGCGCGGCCAGATAGGGGCCACATGTCACATCCAGGCGTGCAAGCCGATGCTATCGCATCGTGTTCAGCGATCGGGGGACCCTGGTGGGCCAGCACCAAAGATCACTCCGGCGAAGGGTCACTCTTACATGAACTCGACGTGTAGTCAAAACTGGGGGGTACAAGAGGAGGGCGTCCAAGAGGGGGGGTCGCAAGTCATGGCCCGAGGCATATGCGCGGCCCAGGGGGGGTCAGGAGACGTAACGAATCAAGAAAAAACGCCGTGAAATATTGGAAGGTATAATGGCCGCCGCCATGATATCCACACACACACACACAAACACACACGCACACACACGCACACACACACACACACACACCCTAGTCATCACCCCCTCTTGGCCGCCCCCGAAAAACAAGGCGAAGCGAGGCGCCGCGAACGTCCCAGGGGACCGCCCTCTGGAAGCGCGACGGGGGCGCAAGGGCGGGGGCGGCGAGAACTCAGAACTTCTTGCTCCAAACTTCGTGGACGGGCAAGCTTCAAGAACAAAGACAGTCAAACTTATAGTAAGGATACGCGATAAGGATGTAAGAGCATTAGACGCCCATGCCGAAGCTTTTCGAGCAAGGCTGGCCAACGAACGTAGTTCAGGATGGACAGCGATGGTAAGATGCAAGGGTACTCTCCGGAAGGTTACCCATCCTTACTATCAGTTTCGACTGTAGTCAAAACAAGGCGAAGATAGGCGCCACGAACTTCCCCGGGGACCGCCCCATGGAAGCGCGGCAGGGGCGCCAAAGCGCCGGCGGCGAGAACTCGCGACTTCTTTCTCCAAGATTCGTGGACGGGCAACATTCCAGAACATGCAGAGCTACCACACCAAGCCAAACCACGAGGCGAGTGAAAAAAAACAGCTGGTGAAATGCACGCTTTGAGCAGGGACCGACCGTCCAGACATTCCTACAGGCCTACCACGACATGTTTTAAGACCAAAAGAATGTTCTAATAATAAAAGCAATGTCCGTCGAACACAAAAAAACTGTTGATTCAAACGAGACGGTATCGGCCAGAAATGTTCTACGAACGTTTCGGCCGAAGCACAAAAGGTTCTTCGAGCATCCTTTGGTGGGCCTATCGGCGCGCCAAGACGCCTCGCCATCGCTTGACAAGAACAAGCACATCCACCACACCAATCGGGGAGACGTAAGACTCGGGTTCGGGGGACTCGGGTTGGCCTGACGGGGCCATCATGAAGATTGCGAGACCCAGTCTGAATTTTGACGCGAGCTCCCGCTGCCAACATCCCACGAAAACTGCACCGTCAAAACCGGAGACGCGCTCGACAGAAAGCGTCGGCAAATCTACGCTCCAGCGCACTCGAGTCGCACATTTCCCCGAACCAAGGCAAACCACAATGGGGAAAAAAGGCACCGATGCTGCTACACCCCCGACCTTCCCTGGGGTGCGTTCTGGCAAGAACTTCGATGCGAATCCAGCGGTGGCGACGAGGGCTCCCCAGGAGGTCCAAAAAGAGGAAAGCGAGGGGAGGGAAGGGGTATGGGTACACGCCGGTCGGAAGAAGTGGGTAGAAACATGAAGTAGGAAGGCGTTGGAAGTAGATTGGACTTCCGCCCGCCCCCTGAAGAGGAGGGAAAAGGAACACCGTTCAACTCTTGAAGTAGGAAGGCGCCTAAAGTAGATTGGAATTTGGGCATCCCGATATACCTACTTTGAACGACCGGCGTGTACCTTTTCCTCCTCTGACGCAAGGCGACTGAAAAAAAACAGCCGGCAGAATGCACGCCGCCGAGCCCACGGCCCGCTGGATCTCAGGCGGCCCACCGGGATGCCCGACAGGACCAGGAAGGTCTTCCGCACCGGCATCTCCGGCGCGGGGGGCGCCCCGGACGGCCGGACCTGAGGGCGCACACAACAGTAAACTTGTGGATGCCACGACAGTGGACACCCTAACAGTCCTATCATCGAGTTAAACATGTGCTTAACATGTCGGAACATGTCCTACAAATGTTTCAAACATGTTTTACATATTAAAAACATGTTTGAGACATTGTTTTGACATCTGGAAATTATTTGGCAGCACGCTTCCTCTCCATTAATCGACTTCGGCAACAGTAAATGGACACACAAGCCCCAGGATGGTCTACAGTTGTTCCACGTCCTTAGGATGCTCGCCTTCCCGACACTTCCCCCCTACGTTCCCATCTGTTCCTGGAGATCGACGAGCAGTCGTTGCTTTTATCTCAGCTCCTGCCCCGATAAGCAAAACGCACCACGTAGCCGATCGGTACGGACCTCCACACGTAGACTGACAACGCAGGTCTGGCGCGATACGTCCGCCAATACGTGGGCCGATACGCTGAGCCAACACGCAGCGTATTGACTCGGACGCTTTGGGCACGGTGCGTGCCGCGCTGCAAGACGGGCGTATCGAGACAGCTAAGCTCTGTATCTCTTTGCTCCCCCCCGACGACCGGGTGGTACTGGAGGCCCTCGCCTGCGTTGGCGATGCCCAGCATGAACTCCTGGCAGGCGCGCCGGTAGGCGCAGATGTCTGGCGGATGCCGACCTCGACGTCTCGGGCCCCCTCGGAGGCTGGCTCTCCCTCGGATGGGTCGTGGCCGCAGCGGGGCTGCCTGCTAGACGGCGTAAGAAGCCGAGCTGTCTCTCCTGCGCATGGTCGCACCTCCCAAGACGAAACCAGAGGCCCGGCTACTGCATAACCGCCTCTCCGCGCGGGAGGGTGGAGGCGACCAACTGCGAGCCGCGTGGCCGAGGGAGGGCGGGCTTCGCCCATCCCTGTCCAGGCCTCCTCTTCCTCATCCTCCTGCTCCTCCTTCTTCTCTTTGTCTCATCCTGGTCGTCCTCCCACCCCCCCTTCTGCTCGTGGTCGCTCTCCTCCTCCTCCTCCTCCTCCTCCTCCTCCTCCTCCTCCTCCTCCTCCTCCTCCTCCTCCTCCTCCTCCTCCTCCTCCTCCTCCTCCTCCTCCTCTCCTCCTCCTCCTCCTCCTCCTCCTCCTCCTCCTCAGACCTCCTGACCCACACTGATATTCACCATCCTGCACCACGCACCTTCGCTCGGCACCCCTTGCTTGTTTCGTTGCGTGCTCTCTTGGCCGCATCGGCGATGCAGCGCGATCATCCCGCCCCATCTGCTCCCGCCCCACTGGGCGGCCGGGAGGGTGGGCGAGCGGACGTCTTGGCACGAGGGCGGCGAAGGTTCTGGTGAAATTCTACGTCAGAGTGAGGGGGCCGAACGGTCATTCACTGTCCCTGGGTGCGTGGTTGATGTGGAATTCCGCGGTGCGGATTCTTGTTGTTGTTGTTGTTTGTTGTTGTTCTTGTTGCTGTTGTTTGTTGTCGTCGTCCCACCCGCAACCCGCCCCGCGACCCACCCGCGACCCACCCCGCGACCCACCCCGCGACCCACCCGCGACCCACCCGCGACCCACCCCGCGACCCACCCCGCGACCCACCCCGCGACCCACCCCGCGACCCAACCCGCGACCCACCCCGCGACCCCCCCGCGGCCCACCCCGCGACCCACCCGCGACCCACCCGCGACCCACCCGCGACCCACCCGCGACCCACCCGCGACCTACCCCGCGACCCACCCGCGACCCACCTTCGACCCAAACCACGTTCAAGGTACAAACCACAATTTTCGGCGCCTGCGGCGGGCTTTTTTGCATTCCTTCCAAGTGGAGAGCCCGCGACACATCCCGTGACCAACTCGCGACCAACCCGCGACCCAAACCACGTTCAGGGTACAAACCACATTTTTCGGCGCCTGCGGCGGGCATATTTTGCATTCGTTTCAGGTGGAGAGCCCGCGGCCCACCCGCGACCACGTTCAGGGTACAAACCACATTTTCGGCGCCTGCGGCGGGCATCCCTTGCATTCGTTCCCTGTGGAGAACCCGCGGCCCACCCGCGACCCAAACCTTGTTCCGTGTACGAACCAATTTTTTTTGGCGCTTGCGGCGGGCTGCTTTTGCATTCCTTCCAGGTGGAGGTGGAGAGCCCGCGACCCACCCGCGACCTAAACCACGTTCACTGAACAAACCAATGCCGCACAAGCGCGGCGGCGGATTCTTGCATGCCGTCTGAGCCCGCAAGGACCTCTTCACGCCCCGCACATCCACGCCAGCCCGTCCAGCAACTTTGCCCTGGCGAGTTGCCTTGATCAGAGAAGGCGGGGAGCATAAAGTGGAAAAAAGGATTGCGTTGCAGTTATCTTGGGAAAGGAGGGGGAGGCAGGATGAGTAAACAGGGGACGAGGAGAACGTGGAAGAAGAGAGGATGTAAGGAGAACGTGGAGAAAGAAAAGGAGGAGGAGCAGGAGGACGAGGGGGAGGAGGGGGAGGAGGGGGAGGAGGAGGACGAGGAGGGGGAGGATGGGGAGGATGATGATGATGGACGACAATGGGAGGACGATGATGGAGGCCGATGAGGGGGAGGACGACAATGGGAGGACCATGATGAAAAGACGAGGGGGGGAGAGGGAGGACGAGGAAGAAGAGGAGGAGGAGGAGGAGGACGAGGTGGAGGAGGAGGATGACGATGACGATGAGGACGAGGAAGAGGAGGAGGAGAAGGAGGAGGAAGAGGAGGAGAAGGAGGAGGAGGAGGAGGTGGAGGAGAGCGCCATCGACAAGGAAGGTGGGGGCCACGAGGTCCGCCGGCTCGACGACGCCCGCGTCGCCCGCGCCCGCCCCCTTACTCTTATCCGCAATTGCGGGGTGCTACGTATTTTGGTTCGGCGCGAGGGCGGCGAAGTGGTCCTCCTTCTCCTTGGATCTCGCGAGCACCAGCAGGACGCAGTGGCCCTCGTCCGCGCGACCGCTCCCGTCGTTGGAGCTCCGCGAGCGGAGCCACCCGCAGGGCAGCACCTCGGCCCGGGCCCCCCCACACACACACACACACACACACACACACACACACACACACACACACACACACACACACACACACACACACACACACACACTCGTGAGGCGCGGGCGGCCCTGAAATTATCCTCCGTTTTCCTCCCCGGCCTCCTCCCTCTTCCTCCTTGCCCTCCTCGGCCCCTCGGCCTCCTCCTCCTTCTCCTCCTCCTTCTCATCATCCTCGTCCTCCTCCTCCCCCTCCTCTTCCTCCTCCTCTTCCTCCTCCTCCTCTACCTCCTCCTCCTCCTCCTCCTCCTCCTCCTCCTCCTCCTCCTCCTCCTCCTCCTCCTCCTCCCCCTCATCCTCATCCTCCTCCTCCCCTCCTCACCTATTCCTCCTCCTCCTCATCCTCCTCCTCCTCCTCCTCCTCCTCCTCCCCCTCCTCCACATCAACATCCTCATCCTCCTCCTTCTCCTCCTGCGCCTCTTCATGGTCGGCCTTCTCCTCATCATCATCCACTTCTTCTTGTCCTTCAGATTGTTGGCCTGATTGAAAATAGTAGAAATAATAATGTGTTGATTGCTAGTATTACTACTACTATTACGATTGTGAATACTGATAGTCAAAAATAACACTGATAATAGGAATAATGACGATAACACTACACTATTAGTAGTATTAGTAGTAGTAGAAGAATAATTAGTAGCAGGGTGACTAGAATTAGCAGTAGCAATACTTATAACAGTGAGAATAATAGTAGTGTTGGTGTCTGTATTACGAGTGTGAATGGTAGTTGGATGACTAGTTTCAGTAGTAGTAATGTTCGTCGTAAGTATATAGTTACGTAGAGTTGTTTTTTATATTCTTAATCTTAGCACACGTACTGCTATTAATACTACCCTTAACCATAACATCAGTCTTAGCATTATCAATATTACTAGTAGTAGTAGTAGTAGTAGTAGTAGCAGAAGTAGTCGTAGCAGTAGTAGTAGTAGTAGTAGTAGTAGTAGCAGTAGCAGTAGCAGTTGCAGTAGTAGAAATAGTAATAATAGTAGTAGTAGTAGTAGTGGTAGTAGTGGTAGTAGTAGTAGCAGCAGCAGCAGTAGTAGTAGTAGTAGTAGTAGTGGTCGTAGTCGTAGTAGTAGTAGTAGTAGTAGTAGTAGCAGTAGTAGTTGCTGTAGTGGTTGTAGTAGTAGTAGTAGTAGTAGTAGTAGTAGTAGTAGTAGTAGTAGTAGTAGTAGTAGTAGTAGTAGTAGTAGTAGTAGTAGTAGTAGCAGTAGCAGTAGCAGTAGTAGCAGTAGCAGTAGTAGCAGTAGCAGTAACAGTCGTAGTAAAGTAGTAGTAGTAGTAGTAGTAGTCGTAGAAGTGGCAGTAGTAGTAGGAGTAGTAGTAGTAGTAGTAGTAGTAGTAGTAGTAGTAATAGTAATAGTAATAGTAGTAGTACTAGTAGGAGTAGTCCTCCTCTTCCTACTCCTCATCCTCATCCTCCTCCTTCGCGCCCCCTACTCGTCCTACTCCTCCGCCTCCTCCTCCTCATCGTCCGCATCCTCCGCCTCCTCCTCCGCCTCCACCCCCTCCTCTCCTCCTCATCTTCCTCCTCCTCTCCTCCTGTCCTCCCTCCTTCGCCTCCTCCTCCTCCCCCAATTCCCTCCTTCCTCCTCCTTCTCCTCCTCCCTCCTCTTCCTCCTCCGCCTCCTTCTCCCTAACCTCCCTCCTCCTCCTCCTCCCCCTCCTCCTCCTCCTCCTCCTCCTCCTCGGCCTCCTCCTCCTCATATTCTTCTTCGTCTTCGCAGTATTCTTATGATTCGTATGATTACTATTATTATTATCATTATTATTGTGATTCGGTTTCTTCGTATGCGTCTTCTTCTTCGTCTTCGCCTTATTCTTCGTATTAGTCTTAGTATCATTAGTATTCTTAGTATGAGTCTTATTATTAGTATTCGTCGTCGTATTATTCGTCTTATTCTTCTTACTAATATTATGATTAGTCTTATTCGTCTTCTTCATTTTATCTTCTTATTCTTATAATTTTTATTATTATTAGTATTAATATCATTATTATTCGTATTATTATTATTATTATTAATAATAATATTATTCGTATTATTAATCTTCCTCCAACTCCTCCTCCCCCTCCTCCTCCTCCTCCTCCTCCCCCTCGTCCTCCTCCTCCTCATCCTCCTCCTCATCCTCCTCCTCCTCTTCCTCCTCCTCCTCTTCATCCTCCTCCTCCTCCTCGTCCGTTTCCTCCTCGTCCTTCTCATCATCCTCGGCATCTTCAATCCAAGCATCGCCATCATCAGCATCAGCATCAGCAAAATCATCATCATCAGCATCAGCATCATCAGCAGCATCATCATCATCATCGTCAGCATCAGCATCATCGTCATCGTCGTCAGCATCATCAACATCAGCATCATCAGCATCAGCACCATCAGCATCAGTATCAGCATCATCATCAGCATCAGCATCAGCATCAGCAGCATGATCAGCATGCTCAGCAGCATCATCATCATCATCATCATCATCAGCAGCAGCAGCAGCATCAGCTGCATCATACTCATCACCAGCATCCCCAGCAGCAGCATCAGCATCACATCATCATCATCATCATCATCAGCAGCAGCAACATCAGTATCATCCTCATCAGCATCATAATCAGCAACAACCGCATCATCATCAGCAGCATCACCATCATCAATATCATCAGCATCATCATCATCAGCCGCATCATCAGCATATTCAGCGTCGTCATCGTCACCAGCATCAGCATCGTCATCAGAATCAGCATCATCAGCAGCAGCATCATCAGAATCAGCATCAGCATCATCATTATTACCATCAGCAGCAGCAGCATCAGCATCATTATCATCATGATCACCATCATCACCATCAGTATCACCAGCATCAGCAGCATTAGCATCTGCATCAGCATCATCAGCATCATCATAAGCATCATCATCAGCATCATCAGCATCGTCATCATCATCATCAGCATCATCACAATCAGCAGCAGCATCAGCATCAGCATCGTAATCATCATCAGCAGCAGCATCGTCATCAGCATCATCATCAGCATCATCGTCGTCATTATCATAATCAACAACATCATCATCAGCTGCATCATCAGAATCAGGATCAACATCATCATCAGCAGCATCAGCAGCATCAGCATCATCATCAGCATCATCATCAGGATCGTCATCATCATCATCAGCAGCAGCATCAGCAGCAGCATCAGCATCAGCAGCAGCATCATCAGCAGCAGCACCATCATGATCGGCATCGTCATTATCATCAGCATCATCATAATCATCATCATAATCAACCTCATCAGCAGCAGCAGCAACAGCATCGTCATCATCATCAGCATCATCATCAGCATCGTCACCATCGTCATCATCATCGTCATCACCAGCATCATCAGCATCACTATCATCATCACCAGCATCATCACCGTGATAATCCTCATGATTATCAGCATCAGATTTACCGCCATTACAATCAACAGCAGCATCATCATCAGCGTCAGCACCATCAGTATCAAAATCATCATCACCATCAGAATCATTACCAGCATCAACATCATCATCAGCTCCTCCTCCAGCTTCTCGCCTCCTCCTCCTCCCCCTGCTCCTCCTCCTCTTCCTCCTCCTCCTCCTCCTGATCATCATCATCATCCTCATCATCATTGATCTCCTTGACCGTACATAGAGAACCGCTTACGTCAGACTGCTTCCAGCGTATATTCTTGAGGTGATCACTGGACGACAATAACAGAATTGCACAGTCTGCGTCGAACTGATCCGTGGGCATAACAAGCAAAGCTGCTGCCTGCTCCTATCCCAATGGTGGCGGCGATGCTGACTGTTGCACGTTCTTGTTTCTTCCTCCTCCACCGCAACCACGCTTCAGTCCCCAAGACTGGTTGACAGGGGGCAGACATCTACACAAGAGTAGACCCAGTACCAGGAGGATCAGGACACCTGCCACAAAATCCTCACTGCCTGCATTTCCCACGGAACCCCAGAATTGAATTATTCGGATACCAGACACTGCCACCCACCACCTGACATCGCATGCAGCGCGGCGTGGCGGCGGAAATCCTTCCCTGGTCAAACTGCATCGGGCGCCCCCTCGATTTTGTCGCACAGCGACGGAAACCTCGGCTCGAAACCCCGCGACCCGGGCTTCAAACCTCGAGCAAACGTGGCCACGGACATTTTCCTCCTTTTCCTTCTCTTCCGCCCTGCAGGAGGCCCATCTGGGCCGCCCGCCCGGCTGGGCCGCGCGGCGCGGGCTCTTAGAATCGCGGGAGGGCAGCCCAGCAAGTTGCGACCCGCGGGACACCCCCTTCCCGCGGCCGGGACCGTTTCGGTTGGCCCTCCTCCCCCTCCTCTTCCGCATTCTCCTCCTGTTCCATTCCTTTTTCCCTATAAATAACTCCTCCCAGTCGCATCCCGAGCCCAGTTAGAAGGGCAGGCCAGACGTTTCGCCTGAGACTTCCTTACCATATATGATCATGAAACTTCGAGGTTGGCAACAGCTTCAGAGATGGAGGGCGGGTCGCTTCCAAAATGAGGCTATCGCCTTAGCGCCGCGCACACTCGTCTTCAACAGTTGTGGGACCTTCACGGATTGAGGGCGGGTGATATTCAAGATGTAGCTCTCGCCTTAGCGACGCACATTCGTCTAAAACCGCAGCAAGAGTTCTACGAATTGAAAGCAGGAGATGTTTGAAATGTGGTTCTCGCCTTAGCGCCGCGCACATTCGTTGAAAAATTGGATAAGACTCACGGGTTGAAGGCGGGTGGTTTTCAACATGTAGCTCTCGCCTGAGCGTCGTGCACATTCGTCTTCAACATTTGGAGGAGCTTCACGGACTGAGGGCGTCTCCTTCTAAATGTGGCTCTCGCCTTGGCGCTGCGCACACTCGTCTTCAACAGCTGTGGGACCGTCACGGATTGAGGGCGGGTCGTTTTCAACATGTGGTTCTCGCCTTAGCCGCGCGCACACTCTTCTTGAACATGTGCAGGAGCTCCACGGACTGAGGGCGGTTCCTTTCAAAATGTGGCTCTCGCCTAAGCGCCGCGCACACTCGTCTTAAATCTTTGCTGGAGTGTCACGCGTTGAGGACGGCTCCTTTTCAAAGTGTGGTTTCCGCCTTAGCGCCGCGCACGTTCGTCTTAAGAAGTTGCAAGAGTTTCTCGCATTCCCATGTTCGACGTACCGGAAGCTGTTTCTGGAACGATTCAGGATTGTCAGGGCGTAAGAATTACGTTGATTCGCGGTGCTGGAATCCGAAGAACGATGTTCTAGCACGATTCGGGATCGTCAAGACGCAACAGACAAGATGATTTGTGGCGTTGAACCTCCGAGGATGGCGCTTTGGCACGCTTCTGGATCTTCGGACGGTTGTCTCCCAACGGGGCACTTCCCTGAGTGGAATTAAACCCTCGTGGGGACCTGTGAAGCGGGAGATTGGAGGGAGGGTTCATTCCAACATCGTTGCTAAGGTCGTAGGTTTAAAATGGTTCTCCTCCTCCTCCTCCTCCTCCTCCTCCCCCTCGTCGCCCCCCGCCCCTTCCGGGCAACCAGCCGCGACAGCGGCGGCCGCCGAAGAGGCAGGTACGACATATCTCGGGAGGTGGCGCGGGAGCCTGCCTCCCCTTCTGAGGCCGGCGCCGCCACGTCGCCAGGCCTTCGCGCCGCGGGCGGGGGGGGAGGGAGGGAGGGAGGGAGGGAGGGAGGGAGGGAGGGAGGGAGGGGGAGGGAGGAGAGACGAGAGGGAGGGAGGGAAGGAAGAGGAGCAAGGAGTCCTCCTCCTCCTCCTCCTCCTCCTCCTCCTCCTCCTCCTCCTCCTCTTTCCTCCTCCTCTTGCTCCTCTCCTCGTCGTCGTCCTCCAACTCCTCCTCCTCCTCCTCCTCCTCCTCCTCCTCCTCCTCCTCCTCCTCCTCCTCCACTCCATTTCCTTATGATCTCTCACTGCCGCACCCCGAGGCCAGTTTTTACGGCGGGCCGGGCGTTTCGCCTGAGACGTCCTCACCATCCATGACCCTGAAGCTAAAAAATCTACAACAACTTCACGGATTGAGGGCGGGTGCTTTTCAAAATGTGGCTCTCGCCTTAGCGTCGCGCATATTCGTTTCAAACAGCTGCAAGAGCTTCACGGATTGAGGGCGGGCGGTTTTCAAAATGTGTCTCTCTCCTGAGCGTCGCGCACATTCGCTTTAAACAGCTGCACGAGCTTCACGGATTGAAGGCGGGTGGTTTTCAAAAGGTAGCTCTCGCATTAGCGTCACGCACATTCGTTGTCAAACTTTGCAAGAGCTTCACGGGTTGAGGGCGGTTCCTTTTCGGGATGCGGCTCTGGCCTCAGCACCGAGCATATCCGTCTTAAAACTTTGCGAGAGCTTCACGGATTGAGGGCGGTTCCTTTTCAATATGTGGTTCTCGCCGTAGCGCCACGCAGATCGTTTTCTATATCTGCAAGGGCTTCACAGATTGAGGGCTGTTATTTTTCAAAATGTGGCTCTCGCCTAAGCGCCGCGCGCATTCGTTTTAAATGTTTGCCAGAGTTCCACGGATTCCCATGACCAACGTACCAGAAACGGCGTTTTGGAAAGATTGCGGATTATGAGGGCGCAACAGATACTCTCATTCGCTGTGTTGAAGCCCAAGAATGGCGTTCTGGCACGATTCAAGATTGTCAAGACGCAATTGTCAGGTTGGTCCGTGGCGTTGGAGTCCCGAGGATAATGTTTTGGACTGCTTCAAAATCTGCAAACGGTTGTCTTCCAGCGAGGCAGTTCCCTCGATAGGCATGAATCGTTGTAGGGGCCTATGAAGAGGGAGTTTGGAGGGAGGGTTTCTGAAAACATCGTTGATGACTCTTGCGTTTACACTGGTCCTCCTCCGCCTCCTCATCATCCTCCTCCTCCTCCTCCTCCTCCTCCTCCACCTTTATCCCTCCCTCGCACATCCCTCCCTTCTTCCCTGCTCTCATATCCCTCCCTCCCTCCCTCTCAAATCCCTCCCTCCCTCCCTCCCTCATCCTCTTTCCTCCTCGTCCTCCAGGAGTCCTCCTCGTCCTCCTGGGGGACGAGGAAGAAAGGGGGCGAGGAGGGCAGGGGGAGGGGCGGAGAGGGCCGCAGCAGTGGCCTCGGCGCTCCGGCGCCGCGGGGCCAGGCGTTGGGACGGGCCCCAGGGAGCGCTCGGCCCCGTCTCCCTCCTCCATCCCTCCTCCTCCCTCCCCTGCCTGCTACATGACCCCTCCTCTCCACCCCCCTTCTCCGTCGCGCCCCCCCCCCCCCGCCCGGGGGCTCCTGCCCGTCTTCCTGCGGTTCCTCCTCTTCCTCATCCTCCTCCTCCTCCGCCTCCTCCCCTCCTTCTCCTACTCCCCCTCCTCCTCCTCCTCCTCCTCCTCCTCCTCCTCCTCCTCCTCCTCCTCCTCCTCTTCCTCCTCTTCACCCTCCTCCCTCATCCCCTCCTCCTCTCTCGCTTACCCCTCCTCCTCTTTATCCCCCCTCCTCCCCCCCCCCTCTGTCTCCCTTCGCTTTCCCCCATCCGAATCAAACTGAAGGTTTTCGAAAGGATTTCAAGAGGCCCCAGAGAGCTCCAATATGCTTCATTAGATCATACTCCTTCACGCGGAGTCGCTGCTCTGGCGCAGTGGCGGGGCTTGCCGCAGGCACCTGGATAGGTTGTACCACATCGCATGCGCCACATCGACTACACGTCCAAAAGGCAAGAGAATACTGTTCGGCGCCCACGCTGGCAAACAAGTGTGATACACACAATCCGCTACACAGTCTAAACGTTCGCTGACCCGTGGACGTGGAGATGTGCAGCTTGCGACCGGACCGCTTACTGAAATGCTCAGAGCTTCTTGCCGGACCAGGCTGCCCCACCAACGCGCAGCTCTGCCCCACACCATGCCAGCTCGATGCCGACGGAGCAGCGCCGCCCTTGCGACACCCCGCGCGCAAGGCTGGAACTGGCCAGGACTGGAAGCAAGGTGACATCTGGGCTTATGTTGTCCCCGTCCTACTTAAGGACCGCATCCCAGAAATAATTTCGAGCACCCAGAAAAGTGTCAAAGGAGTGTCGAAACAGTGTCGAAACAGCGTCGCAACAGTGTCGCCCAGGGCCCGGCCCGCGATAACCCTTGAGTTTCGGTACCTGTTTGGGCGCTCGAAATTCTTCCTGGTGGTCAAGGCTAAAGTAGGCTGGAGCATCATAAATCGGGGATGGACAGACCCCCCTTTAGTAAAACGTGGTTTAGTGAAAACGACCCGAGGCCCAAACCTGGCGGGCGCAGGCCTGGAAAATAACGGCCACGGCGCCCTCTCGAGAACCGAAAACGGACAATTCACTAATCGACGTGTCACTGTTGGGGGTTCCCTCCGCCCCCGAATAAATCTGGGCCCGCCCCCGCGTGCACAAGGCCGAGCTCGGCAGCAAGGGCAGCCCAGCTCAGCGGGCCCCGGGTGTCCTCTCGGAGAGGCGGCGCACGTGCCCGACCACGCGCTCCAGGAAGCTGTGGAAGACCTCCCGGTCGTCCTCCGGGTTCAGAGGCTCCTCGGGGAGTCCCCGCCTCCAGGGGGAAGACCGAGGAGGAGGAGGAGGAGGAGGAGGACGAGGAGGAGGAGGAGGAGGAGGAGGAGAAAGAGAAAGAGGAGGAGGAGGAGGAGGGGGAGGACGAGGAGGAGGAGGAGGAGGAGGAGGAGGAGGAGAAAGAGAAAGAGGAGGAGGAGGAGGACGAGGAGGAGGAGGAGGAGGAGGAGGAGGAGGAGGAGCGCTCGCGCCGACGCCCCGCCCTCCGAGCCCGCCCCCGGGGCTCCCCGACGCAGCGCCGACGGGCGCCGACAAAGACGAGGCTGTGGCGCGCCCGAGGAGCCAAGAAGGACCTGTCAGGGGCAGGCCACAGACTGCACGGGGGCAGCCTCCCCCTGGGCTGCGGCAGAAGGGGGAGAAAAGCAACGGAGGTATAGAAAGAGAGGTAAAGAGAGAGAGAGAGAGAGAACAAAGAGAGAGAGAGAGAGAAGAGAGAGAGAGGGGGGGGATGAGAAAAAGAGAAAAAGAGAGAGAGAGAGAGAGAGAGGGAGAAAGAAAGAAAGCGTGAGAGACAGAGAGGAAGAAGCGCAAGCCTTCCCTGTTGAGGCGATTTCCCCCTACTGCAGATCGCCCCGTCGGCATCTCGGAGATTGGGGGCGAGCACAAAGAGTGACCTAAAACCAGGCACTCGGCCTCGGCTTCACTTCGTGCTGCACGCGGGCGAGGCCGAGGCTGCGCTGGGGCGACGACGCGTCGGCCAGGACTACGGCACAGCCCGGCAGCAACTCTCTGTCCCCGTGCCGCGGGACCCGCGGGGCGCCCCCGCGGTCGTCCCGTGGGCTGTTCCGTGGGCTGTCCTGCGGGCTGTCCGTGTGGGACGTCCTGTGGGCTGCCCCGTGGGTTGTCTCGTGGCTGCCCCGCGCGAGGGGCAGCGACATGTAAATCGGCATGTATGTGTATATATGTATGTACACACGTAAACACATGTGGATATATATATATATATAGGCATGTGTGTATACATGCATCTTTGCATACATGCATGTATGTATGTATGTGCGGAGTTAAGTATGTGTATATGTATGTGTATATGTGCGTATGCATGTATGTATGTATGTATGTGTGTATGTATGTGTGTATGTATGTGTGTATGTATGCATGTATGTATATATGCATGTGGAGGTGTGTATTTGCATATAAACACGAATCTACATACATATGTATAGTGCATATATGTCTAAATACATACATACATACATACATACATACATACAGACAGACAGACAGACAGACAGACAGACAGACATACATGCATGCATGCATGCATGCATAAATACATGCATACATACATGCATACGTACATACATATATACATATATACATACAGACATGCATACATTCCGATCTAAAGACATACATGCATACAAACATACATACATGCATACATGCAATCATACATACATACATGCATACACACATACACAAATACATACATACATGCATCATAGATACAGCCATACATCCATACATGCATACATATATGTATACATAAACATATTTGTGTATATACATATACAGATGCATATGCATATATATATATACATATACATATACATATACATATACATAGACATAGACATGTACATGTTCATTGTCATCTATATACACATATACATGCACATAAACATATACATATACACAAATGTGTGTATCTAAATGCGTGTGTGGTTGTATCCGCGACCGTGTCTAGAGGCACGAAGTGGAGCGCTCCCCTGGCTTATGGAGCTATCTCTACTCCACATTCAATCTGGAAACTTGCTCACTAGAGGCAGGGAGCCCAAAATCCCAAGTCGTTTTGCCGGTGGCCCGCGCTCCCGCGCAATCCCGGGCTTCCTTCCAGGACTTGTCCAAAGGCAAGAGGCCCCCCATGACGGGCCAAGAGGGCCCCAAAAGACCCCCAAGACGGTCCAAGATGGTCCTGAGTCGCCTCAAGATAGCTCCAAGAGGGCAGAGATTGCCGACAGACGGCTCAAGAGGCCCCAAAGGCGCCCCAAGAGGGCTCCCCAAGGGGGCCCAAACATGCCCGAATAATTGGTTGCCCGCATGTTTTTTGAAAGATGTTTATACTCTCGCCTTTTCTAGCTTTCGTCGCTCCAAGACGGCCCAAGAGGCCCACAAGATCGCACCAACACGGCCCAAGAGGCCCCCAAGAGCGCCCCCAGACGGCCCCAGATGGCCCCAAGACGACCCAAAAGGCCCCCACAACGGCCCAATAATGCCCTAAAGGGGGCCCAAGCGAGGCCCCAGAGGGGGAACACGAACCGACATCTCGAGCCGTGTTCGGCAGGATGGCCACCGAGACCGCCAGCAGCCTCCCCACACGAGCTCCGGGAGGCCCCCCAGGACAGCCCAGATCAGGCCCCGAGAGGCCCCGAGCAGACACCCGAGAGGCGCCCAGGACAGCCCAGATCAGGCCCCGAGAGGCCCCGAACAGACACCCGAGAGGCGCCCAAGACAGCCCAAGGCCGAACCCAACAGGCTTCACCTGCGGCCCAGGAGCGGCGGCTGGACAGGCCAAAGGCCACCGGAGACGCGTGCACACCGACTCCGCCAGGCCCCGCCTGCCGGGGGTTGGGAGAGGCGAGTGAGACATGTGGCTGTCCCCACATATCCCCCCTGCCCCCCTCCACAGGGGTCCAAAACCCCGTGCAGGAGGGGGGTAGGCAGGCTCGCCAACGCACTCTGGGGTTTCTCTGGAGCCTCCAGGAAGCCCCAAAACAGCCCAAGAGGGCCGAAGCAGAGCGCCCAGACAGTCTAAGAGAGCGTCGAGACGGCCCAGTGTAACCCCGCGACGGTCGGAGAGTGCTTCAAGACAGCCCACGGGGTCACCCGGACGGCCCAAGAGAGCTCCAAGAGGCCCGCCGAGAGGACCACAAGACGCAAAATTCGCCCCTCAGGAAAACGTACAATTTCGACATCCCCGCCTTTTTCGTCTTGACAGCGTCCAATGCGGCCCAAAGGGGCCCCAAATATCGTCCCAAGAGGGCCCATGAGGTCCCCAGGAGGGCCCGAAGACCGCCAAGAGGGTCTACGAGGGCCCCAAGACGGCCCCAGGAGCCCCTCAGGCGGCCCACGAGGGCCCGAAGAAAGTCCCAAACATAAAAATACGGACTGACACCCCGAACCGTTTCCCCCCGTCATGGCCCCAGATGCCCCCCAGAGACCCCTGAGGCGCCCCTAAGAGGCCCCTAAGATGCCTCCGAGAGGACCCCAAGAGGCTCCTTGAATGCCCCCAAGAGGCCTCAAAAGGCAACCAGATGCCTACAACAAGCCTCAAAGAGGTCCCTGAGAGTGATTTCAAGAGACACTCATATGCATCCTAAAGGCCGCCAGCCCGACGAGCCCACCAGGAGCCAACATAACGCCACCCAGAGCCTCCACCAAAGGCCTCCTAGAAGCACTCAAGCAGCCCCGTGACAAACGCCAACAGCCCCTATGATTCCTTCCTCCCTCCCTCCGCCCTCATCCTTCCCTCCTCCTCCTCCTCCTCCTCCTCCCCCTCCTCCTCCTCCTCCTCCTTCTACTCCTCCGCCTCCTCGTCCTGCACCCTCGCAGGCGTGATAAAAAAACACTCACCCACTGCAGCTCCAACATAGCCTGCCGAACTTTCTTGACGTCGTTACTCCGCTGGGGGTCCGCGGAATGGCGTGAACCACTTGAATCCGCCCGCCCACCGGGCTAAGGGGCGTGTGGGACTTAACTACAGAGCTTTAGCCCCCCTTTTTCCCCCCCCGGAAGCCTCCGCCATTCCGCCGCCCGGCTGCGGCAATGCCCTTTTTCGGTTCCCAAAACGGCTCCACGACGGCGTCCAAGACAAGCTCGATCTTGGTATCGTTCTGAAGACGCTGCCGGGGCGCCTGTGGGCTCCATTTCGGCCCCGTCGGGGCCCCTTCTTGGCCTCCAATATCCGCTCCCGGAGCCATCGACAGCGCCTCTTTGGCTCATTCTCGCCGACACGTGGCGATGTCAACAAAAATGGCAAATACTATGGCTTTGGCCTGATTTCGGCTTCCCCGGGGCTGTCCAGGACGCTGCTTACAGTTGACTTCCGGGCTCGCGTGCGTCATTTTTGATAACTCCCTTTTGTTCGCCGTTTTTGGGCGCGCTCCGGGGTCCATTTTGGACGCTGCGGGGCCCATGTTGGGCCGCAAAACGGACTGCAAACCAGGTCAGACCCCGCCCGGTTTTTACTGCAAGACGGACGCGGTTGCGACCCAACGCGGAAGCGCTGTCACTTGAGCCACCCTGGGCGTCCCCCAGAGACTCGGGGCCTTCTTAGCCTCTTTTTGGGCCCTTTTCGGGTTCCTCTTCGGCCCTTCTTGGCGCCTTGCCGGCCGGATCACCGCCAGGGCAACCGTCGGGGCAACCAACCGCTCGGGCAACCGCCGAGACTAGCAACGGGAAAAGAATCCGGGCAACCGTCGGGACAAGCACCCAGACATCTACCACGGCACACCTCGGGCCAGTAATCTGGTCAGCCATTGGAGAACCCACTCCAAGAGCCACCTTCCCTGCCATCGGATCAATCGACTGCGCAAGCGCGACAAAACCACGAGACTGCCACGCCACCGTATGACACAAGCCCACCACGGGAGCATGCCGCCTTCCCTACCATCGGATCAGTCGACTGCACAAGCGCGACAGAACTACGGGAATGCCACGCCACCGCATGACACCAGCCCACCACGGGAGCATGCCGCCACTGACACCTGCTGACGCCCGCACACCGACACAAAACGCTGCGCGCCCACTCACGTATCTCAGACATCGGGCGCGCGTGACACCCGATGCGGACCTATTGCTGTCTTGCCCCGCTCCCCCGCCTCGCCGTCGTCAGGGGGGGCACAGAGCCCTCAATGCAGAGGATGTCTAGACCGAGATCGAGGACAACGACTGCGGGAGGAAAACGTTTTCGAGACATGGCGCCAGCAGATCGTGCGACCCGTCGACATGACGCCGCACCG